TATGAACACACACACACACACACACACACACACACACACACACACACACACACACACAGCTCTGAGAAAGGAGTAGTATGGTTTTACTGGAACCAGGACAGCTGCGGTCCCTCTAACTGCTCCTTCCTTGGGCAGCCTCATCCCAGCCTGGAAGGGACACTCTGCTCCTTTTCCCTTCAGGAAGGGAAGCCAGGGGGTTCTCACAGCCTGACTCCTGCCTCCCCACATGGCCGAACTTCTAGGGCTTTCTAATATTGCTCTCCTATGATCAGGGCTCCTCTCAAAAGTGACTCCTACTTCCTGGACCTAATGTTGAACCCAAATAACATGATTTTTGTACCTAAGAGTAGAACCAGGGCAGCCTTTAAAAAAAGTGAAGCAAAAATCAAAGATCCACAAAGTAATTTTAAATAACTCAAAACCTACACATTTCACAGCTGTTGAACTAGAATGAAACCGATTAAAATACACTCAGTGAACCTGAGTCCATTCAATATTTTCCTCGGGCCATGACCATTGCCACAAGCAAACAGCTCTGAGTGCCGAGGGGCTCCTTGGCTCCTTGAAGCTAAGAACATGGCCCCAAGGAGGGATTGCAGTGGACATGGCTGGTGGGTGTCTGGGCTCAGACAACCTGGACAGTGGGATGCTCTAGGTGACCCCTTATCTGCCTGTGCCCCTTTTGACTTGAAACAGGAAGCGGTTGCCATGGTTATGGTCCCATGATGCTGACAGGACAACAAGAAACCAAACACTGGAAATTTGTCTTTGCAGAAGCATCTCAGCCATGGGGTGTGATATGCCAAGACTTTCTCTGTAATGACTCACTCATCAGTCACAGCCACCCTTCTGAGACAGGCACGATTCTTACACACATCTTCAGTTTACATTTGGGGAAACTGAAGCGATGGGGTGTGTGTGTGTGTGTGTGTGTGTGTGTGTCAAGTCAACTGTCCAAAGTCATATAGCAAGTGAGTCCAGGCGCTCTGATTGAGCTTACCTCGCCATTCTGCGCTGATGCTCTCCAGTACCAGTCTCAGCAAAGAGCACTCATCAGAAGGAAATGAGAAACTTGGGACCGATGAGCCCAGGGCTGTGTGTGTAATTCCCAATGGACTTAGCACATGGAGTTAGACAACAAAGTCCAAGAAGACACTGAATGGACAACGCCTGTCTCCTTCCAAGCTCTGGTCCATCTCTGATGACAGTTTTACTTCTTGCACTGCACTCAGCTGTAGGGCCGAGTTCCCAAGAAGAACATGTTAAATAAAAGCTGTAGCTTGTTCCCCTCACCCAAGACCTGTGGTCTAAAGATGTGTGTGTGTGTGTGTGTGTGTGTGTGTGTGTGTGTGTGTATGTGTGTGTGATGTGCCCTCAGAGACCAGAAGAGCGAGTCAGATATTCTGAGACTGCAGTTAGTGATAGTTGTGAGCTGCCTTATGGGTTCTGGGATTTGATTCCTGGTTCTTTTGAAAAGCAACCGGCACTCTTAATCATGCATCCTTCTCTCCTGACCCTAATTTTTATTTTTTGCTCTTCTGAAACTATGTAGCCCAGAACTGGCCTCAAATTCACAGTGATTCTGTTACTGGGATTATAGGTGTGTGTCACTTTTCCTGGCTCTACCAATTTTAAAACCCTTCCCTTGGCTTCCCAAGAGGCTGCCTGTTATGAGCACTTTCCTGCCAGCCCTGTCCCACAGCTGCACCAGCCTCAAATAACACACAGAGACAGTGTATTAATTATAAAACTGTTGGCTGGTTACTAGCATTTCTTATTGGCTGTACACACACACACACACACACCCACACACACACACACAGAGGCAGTGAGTATACATATTCTCAAATGTGCACGGGGTGCACATGCATTTATGCACATATGCATGGGATCTAGATGTTGACACCAGAGCCTTCCTTGATCATTTTCCACCTTATTCATTAAGGTGAGGTCTCTTCAGTTGAACCCAGAGTTTGCTGAGATAGCTATTGTAGGCAGTCATATTGTCCAGGGGTTCCTCTATCCTTCATCTTCCAAGTACAGGAATTACAGGCAGTCTGCCACCTGGCATTTATGTGTGTTCTTGAGATCTAAACTCTGGTGCCTCATGCTTGAACTGCAAGTGTTATATACCCATTAGGCCATCTCCCCAGACCAGTAGTATTGATAGTATGGACACTGACCCAAAGATGAGAGCTTTGAATGCCAACATCATAGACAATCTAGCATCGAGGATGATGCTATTAACTCTGTATCTGCACAGTGAAGGCCTAGAAACAGGTGGTAGTGCTGGAATTCTCATCTCTGATGACAGGGAGATGTCTGTTAGGCATCTTGCTACGAGCACTTGTATCCAGGTCCAGTTCGTGAATGGCACTGTCTTCCACTTGGCAACACAACTTTTCTAGGACATTCACTTGATGCTGCCCCTGGGAGAAGCAAATTTCTTCAGGAAGGGAATCTTAGGGAGGGGATACCAGTGATGAGATGGGCTTGTTGAGGCTAGCAGTAGGGTCAGAATCTTTGGCCTGGGTGGAAATCACTGGGCTTTTAGAGTGCGCTGTGGGGTCCAGCAGCATCAACATCACCTAGAGCTTGTCTGACATGCAGTCCCACTGAGGAGGGAGGTCAGGCTCTGGGTTCAGCTTTCAGCATGACTGGGGGCAGCAGGGTAGAGTCTACATGGAGACTACGGTAAGCACACAGCAGATCTTCTGCCCACGGATACCACCGTACTAAAACACACGTGGTTCCTACACTGTCATCAAGGAAGCAAAGATCTGGACAAATAACTCAGCTGCCTGAGTGCTTGCCTTGAAAGCCTGAAGTCCAGTCCAGGATTCTATCCCTAGCATGGAATAAACCAAGAATAGTGGTCATGCCTGCAATCCCAGCACTTGGGTGAAGGGACAAGGAAAATCAGAAGTTCAAGGTTATCTTTTGTGGTGAAATATTGTTTATGATCTAATAAAGCCACTGAGGGGTCAGAATGCAAAGCCAGCCACATTTGTTAGTCATAGAAGCTGGGCAGTGGTGACACACACCTGTAATCCCAGGACTCAGGATATTGTTTATTATCTAATAAAGCCACTAAAGACCAGAAAAGCAAAGCAGCCAGTTAGTAGCTCTTACCTCTATCTCAGATTGAAAGGAGATCCTGCCTCCACGAGTCTCAGGCTACAATCCTGTGGGCTCCTGTCTCCTCCCAGTTTATGCTCCTCTCTCCACCCAGCCATATCACTCCTGTCTCCACCTCCCTAGTGCTGAGATGGTTCTCTTTTAGATTTGCTTGTGTAGCCCAGGGTGGCCTTGAACTCACAGAGATCCATCTACCTCTGTTTCCCAAGTCCTGGGATTAAAGGTGTGTGCCACCACTGCTCAGCTTTGTATGGCATCCTAGTGTGGCTGGAGGACAGCCTGGGCTACATGAGACCATTTCAAAGCAAAACAAACAAATACAAGTCTTTTTCTTTTTGTTTATTCTGCAGGTGACTAACAAGCACTTTCAGGCTGGTATAGCTGTGGTCTTCTAGTCTTGTGCTCCGAGGAGGAGGGCTCGGCCAACGCGGAGCCACACATTCATTCCGGCTCTGCCCAGTAATTCTAGGACAGAGAACCGCAGTGTGTCCACAGGACAGGTGACAGCATTCCCTTTATCTTTCTTTTAAGATTAGGCTGGTTGGGCAGGAAAGCGGGCCTGAGTAGATAAACTTTTTGCACGGGCAGGGTCACCTGTTCAGTTGCCCTTTAAGACTGTTCATCTTTACAGCAAGTTGATTGATGGCTTCAGAGGTTTGGATGGAGCGCGCTGACTTTCTGTACGATTGTGGGTCTGCCTGGCCTCGTTCTGCAGTCCACGTCTGTTTAGACGTGACTATCTGTGAGTACACACAGTGCAAATAAACCACTATCACTTCTGATGCTGGGGCCTCCTTTGTAGCATGGCAAACAAATCAATGAGGGGAGTGCCAACCCTTAGCCCTCAGCAGCATCACCTGGAGACCTGGACTCGTGTTTGGAAGCCTTTAAACCCCCCACCTCCATGCCCCCCCCAAAGCTTTTGATTTAGTTTATCCCAGCTGATAATCTGCATGGCTAGGAATCCCCAGATGATTCAAATTGACAATGATCAGAAATTGTAGTTTCAAAGGCACTGAAGCCACCCCCCCAAACTGCCTCTTAAAACTTTACTTGATCAAGTGTTCTGATGATGTAGTTTAAGGTATACCCCGGGACAATGTGAAGAGAGGAACAATCTAACATACTATGAGATCAGTTTGAAACTCCTGTGCTGTGTTTTGAACCTATAGTCTGAATGGCTGCAAAGCCAAGCCCTTTGCCTCTTTTCACATGCTCCGAGCCTCTGCCTGTTGTGATGATGAATAGACAGTGGTGGTGATTATAAATGTATGATCTGCTGTTTTTATTTATTTTTTTTGAGACAAGATCTCATGCAAACTAGGCTGCCTTCAAACTTGCTATTAGCTGAGGTTGACACTGAGCTCCATCATAGCCTGCTGTGTTATTTGAGTTTGAAATCTCAGTTGCCCTCTGGTTGGTGACCCGACCAGTATGGCAGAGACATTGAGCACACCGGCTGTATGGTGACTGCCCAGACTTCTGAAGTCCTGGGCTTGGCCATGGACACTACCCTCATACTTACGTCTCCATTACCTTGCAGGTGCCGACCCAACCAGGGTTACTCTACTGCTTAGTGACCTGGTACATCCTTGGTACATGTGATTGAAGTCCCTTTGGACGGATCTTTCCACCTGTGGAAGCAGCTCAGAGTAGCCATCTGCTGGGACCTTCCTGGGGCCTCTTGTCTAAAGCTTGCCTGCAGACTCCTGGGTTATGGCAGCTTCCTGCCAAGAGAAACTGGGACTGCACTTTATTCCATAATCGAGTAGACAGGATTTACATCATCAGAGTACCTTGCCTGTCTGACTCCATTTCATATGATTAAAAACAGAGACTTGGAACTTTATGTTTTTTATATAAAAAAATTTATTGAGATGATGTAATTATAGGCTTTTCTTTAAAAATTATTTGCAACTCACTGGCCCTGAGAAAAGGCATTTTTTTGTTTTGTATTTTTTTTTCTTTTTTTTTTTTTGTTACATTCATTTGATTCAGTCCCTTATAAACCCCACACCTCATAAACAAGAGATTAGAAACTAAACAACAACAAAAATTCATTCTAGATTCATCTGGCTTGCAGGTGGGTGAGGTTGCAAAGAGATATCTTCAGGAAGAATGTTCACTTGCGAGGCGAGGGGGAGAGGCAGGGAGTTTGCAGTTGTTTAGTGTTGAGGCGGATGGGGCCAATAGTACTGGGTTAGTTCCCTGTGCCTTGGTGATGGGCAGGGTTCCTGGCTGTTCCTCTGAGTTCCTGCCCCTCTGGCCTTCTTGCGTCACTCAATTTAGGTTTCTGTTCAGAAGAGGAGCAGGCTGAGCTCCGGCTAGCACCGAATGACTGGGCAGTGAAAGCCACCCTTTGCATCTTTAGTTTCTTTGCTGGGGATGGGTCCAGTGGGGTTTAAACCTGTATACTTACTAACTGTATTCTAAGCACTTAGGTTGGAGCCCGATCCTAATTCTGTCCAAGTCACGCTGTCTGCTCCCAGGGTAAGTGATATGACCTCTCTCAGGTTCGCTTCTGCCAACAACAGTGGATGTGCCAAAATGTGTTTATGGTTGGATCCTGGACAGTGTGAGGAGGCATAGTGGCCACTCAATCCTCTCCTAGCCAGCTAGATGTCAGCTGAAGTGGCATTCTTACTGGACAAGGTAATAGTGTGAAAAGATGCTGAATCAGAGGGTTCTGAAAGCACTAGGGAAAGGGGAAACCCTCACCAGCCTGCAGACTGTTTTGGTTTTTCTTATGAGGACCCTTCTCAAAAAAAGGGGGAGGGTTAAGGAAATGAGTGACCCTACCTTCAATAGTCACCAAGAAGACCTGAGGAGTTACTGCCAACATCTCACCAGCTACCACTGCTTTTCTTCTGATGGAGACCTGAAGACAGCCTGGCCAAGGACACAGGACAGAGAATCCCAGGACACACGTGACAATGCCCACCTTTCACACAGCGATGTTCTGCAAATTCCTTTCCTCACCTAACCCATGAGAGCCACCGAGAAAGAAAGGCCACCTGCTCATCTGACACATGAAATTTTCGTTTGGTTTCCATCACCCTCTCGGACTTACTGTTGAGCTAGAAGAGCACAGTGGATGGGGAAAAAAACCAAACCAAACCAAAACACAAACAAACAAACAAATAAAAAGCCAAAAACCAAAGAGCCCCTGTAGCGGTGTTCTAGCCAAGGTGCGAGAGGCTGGACGTTCACCCTGAGAGCACTGAACCCTGGTGACAACACGAGCCAGGAATGAAGACTTTCGCAGTTAAGACAACCGAAGTAAGATCATTAGTGTAAATACCGGGCAGGAAATACAGACGGGACTGCCGTGAGCATTTCAATGTAAGTGGCTGAAGCTGTCATGCCAAGCCTTACACCCTGCCATATGCTTTTAATCCAGGGCTCCTCAGGGAACAAAGGAATTTCCTTCCACAGTTCATCTGGAAGACTCTTTGGACAGATAGAGACTGGGTTCCACACGTGGGCAAAGTGGCCAGAATGAAGTTTCTTCTCTCTCATTTCAGTCATACACAGGACCTCCGTCAAAAGAAAAACAAAACCTTCCACCCTTTCTCTCTAGCTCAACCCAGCGGCTTATACAACGTAAGAATTTGGCTTAATCTCCCCACTTGAGATAGGTACCAGCCATGTTAGAGGCCAAGGGAAAAAAGTATACCCTGCTTCAAGAAACACAGCATGTGCCTCTCTCATCACTACCCACAAATACTAAGCCCAAACCTCTCACCCAGGTCACTGACCTCTTTGAAGGCTGATGGGGGAGGCACTCGGGAGTCACAGCGAGACTACAGTAGCCCAGTCTACTCAATTCCAGTGTCTGTGAGCCACAGTCCGTCACCACATCTGTGAGCAGATGTCTGGTGAGTAAGGCCCAGAGAGAAATGTCTGCCTACTCCGAGCCTCCATGTACCCTATGTAGGAACAGCTGGAGGGCAGCTCTGCTCTGTGTACTGCTTCTGGTTGAGCACACACATACCCAGGAGGGCTCACTTGATGGTGTGGAAGAGACAAAGGAAATACAAGGGGTGATTTAAAAGGCAGGGATTAAAAGCACTATAGTTCAAAGAGTCTCTTTAGATGGCTAAAAAGGAGGACGGAGAGCATGATGGTGAACACCTTTAATCCCAGAATTTGGGAGGCAGAGGCAGACAGGTCTCTGAGTTCAAAGCCAGCCTGGTCTATAAAGCAACTTCAAGGACAGTCAGGACTACACACCGAAACCAGGTCTTAAAAAAACCAACAAAACAAAACCCACCCCACCCCCACTAAAACAGCTGTCTAAATATCTCTGCTATCAAAAGTCCTAAGGCATAGCATTACCCTCATCTTGGAAGATACTACGGACCTTATGCCGAGGTGGAAAATGTCACAAATATGTCCTCTTGGAATACAGCAATGACATGGGGAGAAATGAATGCATCTGAGGAATTTCCTGCCTGTGCTGCTTGTGCAAAGACTGGCTGTGCCCGAGTCTGCACTCCAGGATCCTCCCTTATATGCGTTCTGTGTCCAGTGAGGACCAGCAAGGAAAAACTGCAGAAGGTTGGGCCTTGGAGTGGGGATGCCAGCGACCCCACAAGGGTAAGATGTCTCGGGAATGAAATGGACAGCTTTGCTTTTTCACAAGCCTCGGCAACCTGCTCCCCACTGCAGGGTAGCTCTGCCTAGTCCCTGGAGCACTAGGCCTGTATGAGCGTCTCGTATTTTCCCACTTTGCAGCATTTCCAGGATAATCCCAAGCTGCCGGGGCCCTTCCACTTCATTTGCCCAGCCTCTGGCCGGCCCTGTCTTATAACCGGACCTCCCACTGATGTTTCTTGAATACAGCAGCATTTGTGAGGTGTTTGGTATCCCTCAGATGGATGCCCAAGGCGTCTGGCTGTGTGCTGATGGCCGCAGAAGAGCTGGGCCAATGTTTAGTTTAGGTGCTAGTGAGGCCAGGTCTGTTAAAGGGCATGTGACACGGGACAGCGGCAGAGAAGGCGGAAGGAGGGATAGGATGAGGGAGAGAAGGAGGGCAGGAGGGAGACGGACAGAACTCTTTAATGTTTTGAAAGTATCTTTTTCGTCTCATCCAAGAACAGGACAAACCTGGTCCGTGTGGCAGGAAAAAGAGGGGCCTGATCCCTTCTGCAAGTCTCTTTCCTGACCAGCTGAGCTGGCCATACTTCAGGAGATTTGCAAAAAAAAAAAAAAAAAAAAAAAAAAAAAAAAAAAACAAAAAAAAAAAAAAAACAAAAACAAAAAAACAAACAACCCCCCCAAAAAACCAAAAAAATATAATAGATATATTTCCATGGGAAAACAACATGTGATATCTTCCCCTGTATGAACGATGAATAGTCAAACTGCATGTTCTTAAGAACAAAAAACAAACCAAACCAAAAAAAAAAAAAAAACCAAAAAAAAAAAAACCAAAAAAAAAAAAACAAAAAACAAAAAACCAAACCAGAAACACCATGAGACTAACAACAGGTGCAGGGTGAGGCATTACAGACAAGAGGTCCAAAGGAGAAGAAATGTGACATGCGAGTCTCAGGCCTGTGCCCTCCGCCAGAATTCCAGCCCCGCCATTGCTGGGTGGTTTGTCTAAGGTGCTCTGGGTCCCTCTCGGTCTTTGAGAGAAGTGTTCCTGCCATTCCTGGGCCTCTTCCTTCTTAGCCATCCCCAGCTCGCCTGCTCCATTGCATCTCCAGCGGCCCCTGTGGGCAGGTTTCCTCTTGGCCAGCCGGTGAGGCTGTGGTGGGTCCTCTAACATTCGTCCTCTTGGTACACTTGTTCATCCAGCTCCTGAGACTCGAGGTGCTCTAGACGGTCTGTCCGGCCACTCATGATTTCATCTGGGGTTTTCATGAACCTTTGGAGCAGGAAATGAAGGCGTCAGAAGAGTCTATTCCCAAAGATGCCATTCCAACTCTCAGAGAGCAACACGCACGGAGCCGGGAACCCACGGAACCTAGACACCGGCGCTACCTAGGCACAGATTAGGGAAAGGTCCCTTTCTTACCCACCCGAAAGGTGACAAAATGACCATGACAAGTTGAGGGGACTATGAGAAGACAGTGCTTCTGGTGCTAGGGTTACCTTATGGCTGGCCTGTATAACAGAACTTGAGTATTGCTCACTTGTCTGCTTCTTAGTTTTAAAGATCGTGTGTGTGGTGTGTGTATACACGTGCGGATGAAGCCTCTCTGTGCAGGGGACCAAGAGGACATCAGGTAGGCCACCCTGTCACTGTGAGACACTACCTGGAGCTAGACTGGGGGTCAGCAAGCCCGGTGACCCACCTGTCTCTGCTCTCCACAGAGCCGGAGGTACAGCTGTGTGCACAGGCTCATCTGGCTTTGTCTGTGAAAGCTAGAGATTTGAACTCAGGCCCCCATGCTTGCACAGCAAGCATTCTTTCCCAGTGGAGCCTTCTCTTCAACGCAAGTTAGACTTTTAAAAAGACCCACTTTTTAAAAAAGAGTCCTACATCTGCTTCCATTCCAGTCTGAGGACTCAGGGGATAGTATTCAAAACTCAATGGATGCTATCAGATGTTAACTGGATACTTTTTTTTTTTTTTAACCAGCGGGCCGCTTAGGGCAGGAGGTTTCTGGAAATTAGAGAAGCAAGAGGAACCCTTCTGCTTGCACACCTATCTGAACTGTCAGTAGTGACTTCCCTTTAGCATGCCCCCGTCCGTTGTAGCTGGAGCGTACAGCAAGCCTCACATTCTCGGTCCCTGGTGTCACTTGGAACAGCACCAGTGCCATGTTCTAACTATGGCTTGCACGGTGCAGGGAGGAAACTTGGTTGTTAATGTCCCGTCTTTCCCTGGGGGGGGAGGGGCCTCCACGGTGCCTGCACGTTCCCCCTTTCCTGTGCTCTGCCTTAAAAACACACATTTCCTCTCATCTTTGACCCATCCGCCACTGCGAAACTCCGAAACACCTACTTTTCCCTCTGTTCACTTCCGTTAACTCACCAATCCTGCCTGTTGGTCCTGACAGAAACCATGGCCTGTGCCCTTTTTGCAAATTTTCAACACCGTTCTGATCTGGAACCTTCTGAACCCCTTCCAGTGTGGCACGAGGCCACACTGCAGTCTACATAAACATCCTGAAGCATACATACCTTCTACATCCCGCTTCAGAGGATTACAGGGGAGTCGAGTACTAGTAAGCTGTCATTTTGTGCAGTTTGGCTTCCTCTCTAATAGCACGCATGTTTTCTCGTGCTCAGAGCCCCTCGCTATTAGAGGACCTGATGTGTCTACTGACATTCCTCTCTGCTCAAGACTGCTAGGCTCCCTGGGTAGTGCACATCACAGCGGCTACTGTCTGTCTCCTACTTTCATCTTCTTGCTAAAATTCCTCCCTCAACATCTGAAGCTGCCAACTTTATAGTTACATTGGACTCGGTCTTCAGAACTGCCCTTCCTTCAGGCTACTTCGATACTCCATACCAGGTCAGTCAATAAACGTTTACTGAAACTCTCCCAAATGTATACACAAGATTAAATAAGTCAGAAGGCCTCCTAGGAGTTATGGTTTAGTTGTGGTGAGGAAGGCTTCGTACATATTATTTTTTAAAGATTATTTTTAATTTTAGATGCAAATGGTGTTTTGCCTGCATGTATGTCTGCTTGAGGTTGTCAGATTCCCTGGAATTGGAGTCAAGGACAGTTGTGAGCCACCATGTGGGTGCTGGGAACTGAACTCAGGTCCTCTGGAAGCACAGCCAGTGCTCTTAACCACTGAGCCATCCCTCCAGCTCCCACATGTATTGTTATACTATACTATTCACAGTTATTTTCATATATGTATATGTCCTGCCTGAGTCTCTATGTGCATTGTGTATGCAGCAGCCTGAAGAGGACAGAAGGGGGCATTGGGGTTATAAGTGGCTGTGAGCCATCATGTGGGTGTTGGGAACAGAACCTGGGGCTTTTGCAAAAGCAGCAATCACTCTGAACTGCCCAGCCGTCTTTCCAGCCACATACATACTATTAAAAGTGAACATTATGGTGTGCTGGAGGAAAAAGGGAACTCAGGAGATGGTGGAAGAGGATATGTCTGTTTGCTTGAGCAGCTTCAGAGGGCGCTATAACAAACATTCAACTAGAGGCAGCCTTGAAGGCGTGTGCATGCGAAAAATTAAGCCGATATACATGCCTGGCAGAGGAACTGGAATGCTACTCCCTTCTGTCATAGACCTCATGAATGCGTTTGTCACAAACTTCAACCTGGGATAGGTTGGCTACCAATCCTGGAAACTGCAGCTGCCAGGCTTCAGGCCCTCAACACACAAGTGGACAGGGAGCCTGCTGCAGAGCCAGGAAACCCAGAGACTCAGGAAGAATCAGAGACGACTCCAGCTTCAAGATTACTTAAAACGGAGACGATGAACTGATGAGAACGGGGCATTCTGGGGGGATTCCTCAGCTGCGACGCCGGCCTTGCAGGAACCACGTCTGGAGTAAGTACTAATATGCCGTTAGGTGGCACACCATACAAGGATCTCTGAGGTTCCAGGACGGTATCCAGAGCTGCATTTAAGACCAGCAACTGAGGTGACAAAGCTGAGCTTAGTGGGACCCAGTTGTCCAGGGTAAAAGGACGGGGAGCTGGAAATTTGGGGGTGAGGGATGAAGGCGAACTGAGCGCGTTTCTACCGCGTTTCTTCACCAGCCTCTTCTGCTCCTTTTGAGGAGCATTGCGACTGTTACCGTCCCTACATCGCCACTCCACCTCAGTGCTAACGGCTGGATTTCTTGCTCCCCCACTCAGGACTTTGATCCCTGTCAGAACAGCTGCTCACACACACTGACGTTTTCCTACCTGTGGACATGGACGATTCCAGACCCACAACCCCAGCCCCATGTGCCGCTCTTTTTGTCCTGTTTGTCAAAACCTATAACCGGAGGCCCTACTTGCCAATCCTGCTTCCCCCAGCCATGGCAGTGACCGATGGTGTCAGGTTTCCACCCTCAGTGGCCCTTTAGACCATTTCCTTCTATTCTACTTCTGGGGATCACAATCTCCATGGTAACTGAAACAGCTGGAAACCATTAGCTAGGGGGAATTGGAAAACGGGGAGGGCTGCCTACTTCAGTGGCTGTCACACACATGCGTTTGTAAGGCAGACAATTCGAGGGGCTCAGTTGGTGAAGCACCTGCCATGCAAGCATGAGTTCAGTCCCCACACACACAGAAGGGGACACAGTGGTATATGCTTAGTAATCCCAGCTGCTGGGAGGTGAGGGCAGGCAGATCCTCCCCAGAGAGGATCTTAGCAAGCCCAAGCCAGAGAGGTCTCATCTCAAAGATCACGGAGGATAGGGCATGAGAAATGACATCGGAGGTTGACCTCTGACCTCCACACGCATGTGCGTACATACGGACACATACACATAAGCAAAATCGTTATGAGGTCATGATTAGTGGTCATTCTTCTTGACAAGCTATAATTTGGTATTTCCAACTCCACCGTGTTGATTCTGTATCTCATGAAAAAGAAAAAAAGAAAGGCTGTTGCTGACCAGGGACACCCACACACTGGGTCATGACCGGAAGCTTGACAAAGCAGCTTTCAGGTTTGGTGACCCGGAAGTCCCAGTTTAATCCTTTACTTCATTGTCTGATAGCGCTATTTGGTCCCTGTGTTATTTTAAAGGCGAGTCAGAATTCACTTAGCTTTGGCTTTCACACAGGCAGGATAGACTTAAGCAAAAGGAATGGTTTTTTTAAACCTTAAACCCTAACAAACCAGCACTTGCTTCCAATCGACAGTATCTGCTGTAGTGGCTCTGGGTCTCGGTTAGGCATGTCAGAGTTCTCAGCCGCCTCCCACCTCCCTCTCATGTAAAGAAAATCACATCATCCGTCCGAAAGAAGGAAAGGGAAAGAGGAAGCGCTACCTGAACAAAAGCCTTTGTCCGGGCTCCTTCCTGATAATGTTTAGTTTGTAGTAATGGCGCAGCGCTCTGGACATTTTCTCATAGGTCATGTTTGTTCTGTTCTGTTTGTTCAAAGGAGGAAGGGAGGGAGAGAGGGGGGGGGGGGAAAGCACAAAGACACAATGAAATGAACCACAGAAAAGGCACCAGGCAGCTATTAAAATAAAGGCTGCTGAGTCGCCCCACATGGCCTCGCCAGCCTGGGAACTCCACTTGCTAGTCGCCTACCTTCTGCTTCCGGCCCTACAGCCACTGTGGCCAAGGGCCCCTCCTAAACTGAACTGTCCTAGTTAAGTGCTAACCAACCCAGCACATCCCGCTGCGACTACCCTCATTTCCTTCTCCTGAGACGGCTCCTGGCTTCCTTTACCTTGGGTGGTTGACAGGTGGTCCATCTTTCCTGTCCTGATTCACCTACAATTCCTTTCTTTTCCTTCCTTCCTTCCTTCCTTCCTTCCTTCCTTCCTTGTTGCAATGACTTCTTCACACTTGTCTCTGGTCATCACTGTTTTTTGGGCAATGCATAGAAGGTCCCCAGTGACTCATGTCTTAAATGTCTGTTTATGGGTCCCCGACATATTTGTCCATGGCCCTTAGCTGGTCTTCCTCAGCCAGGTAAGGGCTCAGGCCGCCTTCTTAGGAGGCTTGAGGCTCAGCTGTGCCTCACGAGCGCCCTCCCTCGCCAGCTTGGTCCTAGTTCTCCTTATGTGTCAACTGGCCTGGCCGCCGGCTGTTATCTCCTTTTCATGTTGCACATTTAAACGTCTTCCTCACTGTAGAGGACTATGTTTTGAATTGCACTTCCTCTTCCTACTTTGGAAAACTATGGGGGCAGACTTTTTGCACCTCCTGCTCGTAAAGGAGATGTTTTATAATCAGAACATGTTTTCCATGCAGAAATGGACTTTTATGAAAAGGGGAGTTTCCAACTGATGGGGACAGAAGTGACACTTCCCAAAGGTCGCCTGTGAGTCATACAGCTCTCACTACTTCCCTATTCCCCAGTACCTAAGGACAATAGGGGTGGCAGGTCCAGGTCAAGGGGAGTGGCTGGGGGAAGGGGCGGAGCGACGACACTTATAATCAGTCTACTGAACTGAGCCCTGCTGAGTTAATGGACCCTGGACAGAGGCAACACATGGAAAAAGGCACTTTTAATCATTTCCTTCCTTCACAACTACCTAATTGTTTGTCTAGTGACAAAAAATTGTTTGTCTAGTGTCTAATAATCACGGGCAGGCTTGGGAGGCAGAAGATGGTCATCCCCCAACTCGGGGATGAGTACTATTTTGGTACCAGCTTTCCCAACAAACATTTGGACTTTTTACCTTATGGTTTCCCCACAAGCGAGCCAGTCCGTTGGGATCCACTATCCGGAATATTTTGGATTCCTTGTCTTCCCATCGGATGAAGTTTTCGTACCGGCTGTCAGAGAGCAACTGATAGACGTAATCCCAAAGCAGCCTACAGTCTGCAGAGGAAAAGGGACAGGGCTGTTGACAATGACTTTTGTGGAGGCAGTCATAAGACTCAGAGAGAGGGCTTGGAACCACAGCTTGGGTCTGGTTTTGACTGACTGTCTTATTTCCTCATTTCACAGATGAAACAGTCCAGAGAGAGCCTGTGAGCTCCCCCTGACCTCTGACCCAGGGAGGCTCAAAGCTGACGGAGGCCACTGCCTCCATATGAGGACCAAGGAAGAGGAAAAGGCTTGTTCAAAGTCACAAAAGCTTGACGCTCAACCAGCCCATCTGAAGGATGAGGCACCGGGCTGTACCCGCAAAGAATAAACAAGCTTTGACAGCGGGCTACAAAATGGTTAGAAGGACAAACGGTGGGAAGAGAGTCTTCGAGTCTGTGTGCACGGCCGTGTCTGTCTGTCTGTGGAGGCCAAAGGTTGACACAAGTGTGTTCCTCAATCGCTCTCCATCTTATTACTTTTCACACTTTTCCTGTGGGAGTGTGTGTGGTGTACTGGGAAGCGAGAGTGTGTGGCATACATTTACACACTGGGAAGCAAGCAGACACTGGCTATCTTCCCCTGTCATTATCCACCTTGAGCCAGGGTCTCACTGAACCTGTAATTCACCATTTTGGCTAGAATAGCTGGCCAGCAAGCCCTTAGGCTCTGTTAATATCCACTCTCCTCCCCAAATTCTGGGGCTACAGCCATGCATGGCTACGTCTGACTTTTACACGGTACTAGGGATTCAACTCAGGTCTTCTAGTCTGCATAGCAAATGCATACCCACTGAGCTCCCTCTTCAGCCCCTTTATCTGTTATCTATTCATTTATTTACTTATTTATTTCTGAGATAAGTTCTCTCACTGAACAGGAATCTAGGCACTTTCATATCTGGTTTCTTATGTGAGCCCTGGGGGGGGGGGGTCACTAACAGGTCTCTATGCTTATATGGCGGACACTTTACCGATTGACCCATTCCCTGAGACTAGAAAGAAAATCTTGAAGTTCTAATGAGAACAGTATGATAAAAAGTTAAAAGGGCTGGAGTTTAAAGACTATTTTTGTAGTTGGCAGGAGATGTTGAATGGCTAGAGGAAGACGGGGCTAAAAAGAAAGCAATAAATGAAAAACGATGGGAAATTAAAAATTATGTGGCTTGGTGATGTTGCCTATGGGGTCTGTGGCTAGCATCTTAAAAAAGAAATAAAAATATTCTCATTAAACCATCCTTTGGAGGCCTTTCAAGTTGCTTTATCATAATGGAATCATGGTTGAAAGGAACTTGGTGCAAGAAAACCATTTCTCATCTGCGGAACTGGTACCCGGTTATGTGGTCAGGAAGCAAGCATCCATCAGATGATTTACTGTGACCCTACATTGTGCTCAGCCCAGGGTTTTGGTTGTGGATCCCTGGCTTTCTGAGTCTATGCTGTAAAGGTTCCTGGTCTGTTCTCCAGCTCAGCACAATAGGTTAAGTAAGCAGACGCAGTCACGCACCTTCCAGATAGTGCTGATGTTGGATTGGCCCCTGGCTAAAAGTAGATGGTACCTTTTCCAGATGTTTACTGCACGGTTCCAGGGGGTTAACCAGATAGCTATTAACAGAAGGCCAATGACTAAATGCGCATCTCATTTATTTGTACGTGTACATACCCATGTGAGTAACTGTGCACTACATGTATGCAGGATCCAAGACAGGCCAGGAGAGGGCACTGGATCCCTTAGAATCAGAGTTAACAGGTGGCAGTGAGCTGCCATGTGGGTGCTGGGAACTGAACCTGGGGTCTTTGTAAGAAGTGCAAGCTCTCCTAACCAGCTTCCCAGCCTCTATTAGTGCCTTTGGAAAGAGCTATAAGAGCTCTCTTTCACAGCTATCTGTGAGGACACAGTAGACATTTCCTACGGAGGAGAAATCACACTCATCAGTAGGCCTCAGAGCTGCTGCTGCGCTGTCTGTGAGACACCGCCTTTCTTTGTCCTTCGCCTCACTCCCGATACTCCCTGCTTTTTCCTCCGAGTGGCAGCACCACATCTGCCCAATTCCTACCGTTTCTAAGACATCTTGTGGCATTTTGTTTCAGTAGCCTGAACAGACTAAGACAAGAACAGAGCTGTGGCTCCCTTGTCCAGGTTTGGTGCCAGAAATGGCAAGTGGCAGGCACATTTGAGTCTTCTATAGTCTCACCCACCTGGAAAACCATCTTTCCGAACCAAACCCTTTCCCATAAAATGCCATTCGGCAAGGAGAGGCAATGGTGCGCACACAGCCCCCGCTCTGTATGTAACAATCATGGGCACGTGCAAGTGAGTGCAAGTACACGTGTACATGTGTGTGTGTGTGTGTGTGTGTGTCAGAAATCAACCCTGCATTTTCAGTGGCTACCCACGACACAGCCTTTCATTGATCAATGGATCACGTAGACTGACTGTCCACTACGTCCCAGAATCCTCCTGCCTTCATTTACCCAGTAATTAGACTTATAGGTGTGCATCTCCAAGCCCGGAGCTAGTGTGTCCGAGGTACTAAGGTTAACAAAAGGCAACCACTGTCCTCTGGCTCTCCCCACCTCCACCCCACCTGCCCAGGGACTTCCTATTGTACCCTCTCTGTTGTCACCATGGCACATTCCTAGTGCCATAAAACTACGCAGCATCCCTCAGGTTATTTCTTCAGCTAAAGGCTTACCCAGCCCTGGATTCCATGCTAGTATTTTCACAGGCATCAAACTGGGTTCCAGAATGTGACTGCCAATAGATGGCAACTGCAGGGCAGGGCTTGCCAGACAACAGGCTTTTACTTGTAAGCTTCAAGAACATTTGTATATTGCGACTTTTTCCCCTCCTTTCATAAATTCTAAAGTAACCCCCAAACAAGCTTCCAATTGATCACTTTAAGTGACATTTAATCCAGCAAAGCCAACATTAGCTGCGTAATAAAAACGTTGACATTCAAGACACACTGAATTACTCAGCCACTAACGGAAGGAGCGAGGGGAATTTCATGGCGGAAAGCAGTTGCTTCAAGCTCAGAGTGTAAGTGGCTTTTATAACACTATCGATTTCTGTTTCTTTTTCTTTTCTTTCTTTTTTTAAAATATGTCTAGATGATAAAAATAACTGTCTGACCACACAGCCATGTTCTCTTGTTTACTACCGAAGTATAAGCTGTGTTATTTCTCTCTTCAGTGTTTCTTAAGAGGCACCTCCTCTTGTTCTCTAGAGCTTCTGGATACTATTAGCAGAGACCACCTGTGATTTTCTAGCTACTCCATGTTTGCACAAATGCACTTTGATTGATGGTAAAAATGCTGCAATACAATAAATAAAATGCACTAAGTTCTAAAAACACAAGCCCATCCTTCTAAAGGACTGAACTTGCATGGATTTTATTTTTCAAACACATGCTATTTAAAGAGACGATGGTGAGCGTTAACGTCAGCTTGATAGAATACGGAATCACCTGGAAGATGGACCTCTGGGCATGTGTATGAGGATTGTCTTGAGTGAGTTAGCTGACATGGGAAGACCTGCCCACTGTGGGCAGTGCTAGTCCCTAAGTGGACTACACGAGCGGACAAAGAGCTGAGCACCGAAACGCTTTCATTTCTTTCTTTCTGATTGTAGATTGATGCAACCAGCAGCCTTGAGCTCCCGCCGCCTTCACTTCCCACCATGATGTGCTGTCCCTTGAGCCAAGAGCCAGAATAAACGCTTTCTCTTTTCAAATTGCTTTTGTCAGAGTATTTCTTCAGAGCAAAGGGGAAAGAAACTAAGACAAGGGTCTTTTTTCCATATAAGGACATCCAAGTACTTTCAAGAAATGCCCATCAGTTGGGTCATCTCTTCTGTAAGAGGAAGTTTATGGAATGGATTATCTCAGATAAAGCTACTTTCCAACTGCAGGAAGAGTTCCCTGTTTCCTGATGGGTGAGGTACCCGGCCATCCGCCTCTGAGAAGCATTGTACAAATCCCTTCCTGTGGTTAGGGAGAAACGATTTTACTCCCATGTCTGTCTCCTACTAGAGTCACTGTATAAACTCACAGAACAGAGACTGCAGAAAGATGGGCAATTCACATAGCCAATATGGCTTCTAAAAAAATAAAATAAAAATCACTGTTAGACAGAAACCAATGTTTAAAAATTATGAGTAGGCAGGTCAAATTATAGACAAAGGGAATGTGTAACGATGGAGAATAACTTACCAGAAAGTTTCTAAGAAAGTTTTTTTACTGGCTCAAATATAATTTTAAGTGGCAGTCTATGACCCCTGCCAGAACCACGGGTTTAAGTACACATCACCCATGGGACAAAGCTGAATGTCTCTGGTTTTAAGTTTCAAAAACTGATGATCTCAAAATTGCTAAGTCTATTCAAAGTTCTGCACCAGAGCAGGCAGAGTAAGAGAGAATAAAAAGTGACAGCTAACGTGTGACAGCCACTGTTCTGAGCTGAGGGGTGAATTTTCCATCCTAGGGGGAGTCTGGTAATGTCTGTACACACTTCCAGCTGTTACACCTGGGATGGATGACGGAGCAGCTTTTGGCTAAGGCTGCACAGGACAAGTCCCCATGACAAAGCACTCTTTGGCCTAGACATCAAGAGCATGGAAGTTGGGGTGTTCTGCCTACAGGAACACAGGTCCAGGGCATGGAGTGGGACCATCTGCCATCCAGACACTGTTCCCTGCTCTGTGCTCTGCCAGCTATTGCCCAGGAGTCTACAAATCAGGCACTGCCAACTGCCTGTTGATATGCAGACGTGTGCGTGTGCTTACAATGGACAATTGCTTGTGTTTTGCTGTGGTGCAGGGAAACAAACCGGGAGTGTGCAGTGGCATGCTGGGGGAGGGTGCGGTGGGGACAGACAGCGGGGGCCACCTCGATGCTTCCTGGCTTCGCGTGGCTGCAGACAAGCTGGTTGACACTGAACTCAAACTCACACCCCAGCAAGACACAGCCTGCAAGCAGGAGCCTAGCGGTATCTCCTCAATGCTGGAACCTAAAA